CAACAGGAGTACTGTTAACCATGACAGTGTTCTATTTCCATATCGAACCCCAGTACGTGTGGAACGTCAGCAAGTCCTGATTTACTTTCCTCTGAGCATAGCATACATTTTTCTTTTCATAGCCAAGAACCTACAAGGCATACTTCAGTTCGGGTTGAATAAAAGAATGGATCTCTTGCGCAGCAGTAGAAGAAGCGAGGTGATGGAAAGAAAAGAGCTACTAGAGGTGCCAACTGACTAGGGAAAAATATCTTCAGATTCCACTAAAACATCTTGTATCATGACTATTTCTACAACGTACTGTAATATCCGGATGGCTTCATAGTTCCGAATATCCGGATTTATCCGGAAAATCGGCACCTCCGGGAAAAGAAAGGACAGCACTGCAGGCAAACTACCATAACAAACTAGCCAAGACATTATGAAGCTTCAGATGAACACACTAATGTCTATGAGGGCACTGCAAATCGGTCTTGATCAAGGATATTTCGTCGCTAGAGTGCAATGAAAAGCAGACACGTCCCTCTTCCAAAACACACACAAACACACCCTCAAATTATTCACACATACACACACACACACACACACACACACACACACACACGCGCGCGCGCGCGCGCACACACACAGAGAGAGAGAGAGAGAGACAGACAGACAGACAGACAGACAGACAGACAGACAGACAGACAGACAGACAGACAGACAGACAGACAGAAGGAGAGTTGTGTATAACCAAAGATTATGAAAGTGGAAGGAAGAGTAAAAGCAGTCCCACATAACCGCCCAAAGAAGAAAACTCATCCCAACTGTTCCACCCCCCACCTCACATTTCCCCCCTTTGAATGGAATAGAAATGCACCCCAAAAAAAAGAAATCTCAAAACCCAGTTTGCAGAACTCGGTTACACATAATTCTTCTATCTTCCCCATACAAAACAACTACATAACAAAAAATATTTTTAAAAATTAACAAACAAGAAATCTAAATATAACAGAAAAACGCCGAAATGACCTCACTTTTCCCTTTTCCTTCCAATACATACAGTGACACACACACAAATATACACACATACACACACGGGCGCGCGCGCGCGCCGCAAAGATACACACACTCAAAACGCACCATGTCAAAACGAACAAGACAACGTACAATTTAAAAAACAATAACTTCACTTTCTTTGACGAAAATATATTATTTCTATTCATTTGCCCGTTGTAATGAATATCACTTCGCAGCATTCAAATAAATACAACTATTATGTACTTCAACAAAGCAGCCTAGGAACTATCTATCGCGTTCCTGTTTCAAACTCATGAACAAGAGTGCGACATCACACAGAAGCCATGGGATATTAATCAAGTTTTGTTGGGATATTCCGCTACAAACACTTACTTCCACACCTGGGATAAACACTTACAAAATTATAATATAGCTAATAAATCCTAAATTAGTCGATGCTGAGTTGCTTTTTTTGCGATGAGTCGCGGTGACATTAATATTTTCACAGAAACAGATAAAATATAATATTAATAGTGATACGATATTATTAATATTAGGGAGTAAGCCCAAATTAGGTCTAGACTATGTAGGTTGACTCTGAGCAGAGATAAGCCTTGAACCGGAAAATTTGTCTACACTTGCAAATTCAGCTAAGCAATTCTGAAACATGACACCAGATTGCGATAACAAATAGATGATGAAGCGGATCACAGTAGAGCAGTCCCCCCCCCCCCCCCCCAAAAAAAAAAAGCCTGGTCATAAGTTAGGTAAGTCAGAACAGCAGTTTGTAGAACAAAGGTCACAGAGCTAGAAACACGTGCAAAATACCAAGTGCACACTGACAATCGAAGTCATTTGACTGAGTCGGGGCTAGCCTGATATTCCTTCAAGGACGGAGCAAACGTTACCATTTTGGCACAATTTTGGAGCGAATTCGACTAAATTCGATTTCGACCTTCAAATCAAATACACTTATTATTTTTCAAGGTCGCCAGTCGAAATGGTCGTATTGTGTCAAAATGGTAGCTTTTGCCCCTCCAGGAATTAAAACCCGACTGGTCCCACGACCCATTCCAATTGAATCCAAACAGCAGTGTATCTCTCCATGGAGGTGCCTGCTCGCGACTCGATCAGTTGAGTCCGATTGGCAGTGTACACTGCGCTACCTCACAATTACAAAGTTTTATCTGACATTTTTGGCCGTTTTTAGTTACTAAGACCATGGGATCAAAAATCAAAAGCTCTATCTGCTCTATCAAAATCATGAGATTATTCTGGGTCGTTATCAAGATATTCCAAGAATTTCATTAAAAAAGGCTTGACATGTGAAACTAAAGACGTTTGGCGTCAAATTTCTTACAACTAGACACTGAACAGAGAGAACTTAGCGATTCTGAGGTAGCGACCGGGTATAAGATAGCAGACTGAACAGAAACAGGGGTCTGTCTACACAAGAGTTTCTTCTCGCTCCGAGATCACGCTGCCGCGGCGAGAAGAAACTGGCTCGTCCTCCGAGTCAGAGGACGACGTGCTCACGTTGGACATGTCCATCTCCTCAAAATCCTTGGCCGACAGCCGCGAGAAGTCGTCGCCCCCTGCCCGCCCCGGCCACACGGAACCCGTGCTCGTACGCCGCCTCATTGGCGGTCTCCTGGGCGGTCTCGTCGGCGCGGTGGTTGGGTCGTCGGAGGTCGCAACCTCGGGGATGGCGGCCTCGGAAGTCAGAGGGGAAGGTCGCCGTTTTTCCTGGAAGAAGCTGCGAGACGACAGACTGCGCGACACGCGGCGGTACCGCGGAGGGGGCTTGCAGGGGGCTCTTCCCACGTCGGCGCCCTGTGAACTTTGAGCGGAGGATGTCCGACTTTCGCTCTCAATCACACCACATGTTGAAGGTACTTGGGTTAAGTGTGGGTACAACTTTTCATTAATTTCGCAGAAAGTGTTAGCGTTCGTAGTGACAGGTTGAGATTCGCGGGTGGTGTTGGGATTATCAGAAGAACACGACAAAGTGTTATTATCAATATCACTTATCATACCAAAAGGAGAATCGGATTTATAAAGATTTGTAAAATTAACACTTTGAGGGAGAGTATCACAGAGAGAGGATGCCAAGTCATCAGCAGTTGTATCAACAGCAGTGTGAAACATCTGAGCTTCGCCTTGCAGCTCATTCGTTGTGGAAACAGGTTTAGCGTGAGAATCAACATCTGACTGCGTATGAGTCTTGTCGTAAAACTGATCACTTGGCGAGTAACGCAGTGGGGACGCCTCTGCACTTGCCTGCCTTTGAAGGCTGGTTGATCTTTGAGGGTTTTTACAAATATTACCATTGTCTGTGGGTACAGATGCAGGGTGTTTGAGCGTATTAGGGGCGTCGGAATTGAAAGCCTCGGAAGACAAAGAGTAAGAACTGAGCGACAAAGTGTCTCGGTCGTAGCACCATTCCAGTTCGTTGTCGTCGGCAGTGTATTGAGCGTCGTTTGTCTCAAGAGCAAAAACATTGCCTTGATCATTGTCATCTTGGCTCACGAGGTCAGAGACACAGTTTCTTTTTACATTCAACACGTCATCGGATTCTCTAAAAGGTTCATGACGTCTTGGACGGGAAGCAGCAACAGCACGGTCATTGCCTGTTCCCGAAGTCAATTTTCCACCAGCTCGTACCGCCTCCACTTTTGGGTTGACCCTAGCGTCGCCGGCCGCGTACGTCACACTACACAAGTCGTCCCGACGCCCGCTCGAGACAACGGGAACACTGACACTTTCCTTATTGGCTGTAGCGGCAGACGTCTGCCATGTGTCACCTTGAAGACAGCCAGAACTTTTCTTACTTCCCGTTGGAGTCCGAGACAAGCCTGGAGACCCCAGCCCTCTGGACGTGACGTCACCATGATGACGTGTCACAACACTAGATATTTCACTAACAGTTGTCCGAGTTGAATTCTGTACAGAACAAATGCCTACGGCAGCATCCTCCTCGGGAGATTCTCTGAAAGATCTTTGTTTACCCCTGAACTTAACCGACCCTGTCCGATCTTCTACAGAGGACGATGCTGAAAGTGCTGAAGTCTTCAGACTTTTACCTGATTCTCTTTCATTTTCTCGACCTGTCTGTATACCTAACGTGTTGCTTTCTCCACTACCATTCTTGAGCGACTTAGTTTTTCTCTGCTGCGCCGCAGACGACAATGCGACATTCCCTATATGTTTGACTATACTTTGACCTAAGCTTAACTCTGCAGACCCTTCTCGGTCGGAACCACTTTCCGACTTTCGGTGTATCCTCTCAGAAATGGACTCTCCGAGTTTTTTGGCTGCCTTTCTGACGTAGCTGACGCCGAGATATTTACTTAACTTCTCCTGCACTTTCTCACTGGGACTACTTTCTCTGACCTGTCTCGGCTCTTCAAGAGGGCTTAGATGGGAACCATCCATATTCTCTGTTTGACACGTATTTTCCTCTGTCCTACTTGAACTATCTTTATTCTCTTGATATGAAACGCGTTCTAACGTAATTTCATTGCTCCGAGACTTTGTTCCAGGAACTTCAGGGAGACCAGGAGCGTCTATATTTACATAATCAGGACCATCTCCATCAAAGTCGTTAAAATCTGGATCGCACACTTTTAGATCAGCGTGGTCATCCAGAGAGTTATCTAAACATACACTGGAAGTCAATTCATCCTTTTCAAAGTTGAAACTGCGAGCACTCGTATCGAGATCTGACACACCACCACCAAATGTACAATCTCCAGCCTCACTTCTGTCTACCTGCACATCTTTTCTCTTCTTGGAAGGCACTTTTCTCTTCCGGTCTCGTTTAGCATTCTTTTGGCCCTTGGCTTGACATGCACGTAAATACGTTAGCGTGTCTGCGGTGAAATAACACTTAGAACCTTCCCTGTTAAAGAAATGGGAGGGCACATCTCGTGCCCAAAGACTCATCAAATCCACATAACCCGGTTGAGGCCAAAAGAAAAGACCCTGAAAATAAAACCCACCTGTCCGTTTTTTCGCCACAGTCGTTGCACCTCCTCCGCCTCCCCCTCCACTTGTGTTTACTCCTCCGGAGGGGGTACCTGGTCTTGCCGCTTCCTCACCACCACCTCCTCCTCCTCCTCCGTCTCCCTGGTCGTCTCCCTCCCCGTCTTCTGTAGAGCTCTGTACGTCAATGCCATACGCCCGGGACGGGTGGCTCAGGAAGCGCTCTGGAACCCGCGCTAAGGAAGGGACATAGGCCGGAGCCTGCCCGCCAAAACCCAAGTTCATCAACATCTGCTCCGGGTCCATCTGGCGTTCTTGTAGCAGCATCTCCAAGCTGATGAAAGAGAAAAAGAAACATTCTCAACGTCAACGCCATCTGCTGAGAGGGAGTCCGTTTTGAGTGGGAAGGTAACTGATGTATTAGAGTAAAGAGAAGCACATCGACACAATAAATGTCATTTTGTGCCGGGAAAAAGCTAGACAGACAGACAGACAGACAGACAGACAGACAGAAACATCAGTGGGAAAATAAAGAAGTAGGACCTACCAGTGACGCCCTCCAACCACCCGCAGTAACTGAGCCTACAAGGTAAATGCTACATATTGGTAGAGAACAATTTAGTTTAACATAGTTTGAGGGGTTTAATTTTGAATAAAAAGAAACACTTCGACATAATGACGGCCATATAGTGCAGGGAAAAGGCTAGAGAGAAACAACAGAGGAAACGAAAAGGAACAGGACTTACCAATGGCGCCCTCCAACCATCCGCCGTCAAAGTTAATGAAACAAACAGAGACAGACAGACAGACAAACAGACAGACAGACAGACAGACAGACAGACACACACACAGACAAGAAGGCAGACCGACAGACAGCCAGACAGATAGACTGACAGACAGACATACAGAAAAAAACCAGAGAATAAGAAAAAAAATCAGACTTAAAAAAGGCATCCTTTAATCCCCATAGAGGAGGAGACATAGGGAAACAGAGACAGAGGAGAAGACAGAG